TTTCCCTTTAGATGATCTGGAGATGATTTCTGTAAAAAGTGTTTTCACTGTTTTCCCAAATATGTATCAGCAGGTGGCGATAAAGATCTAGACAATAAACCACCACTACCCCACCATTGAGCCATCGAGCTGATGTGTATACTGTTGAAGCCCTTCCATTCATACAGATTTGATAGAGCCTTTAATTGACAAATTCACTGACAAATCCTCCCAAATTAGCATATTTCATACATTTCATACAATGAAATAAAGGGACTTCTTAGGTTGTTGGGTTACTCTCACATTTTCAAGGATCAAAGTGTCTGTTTCTAGTTTCCTGCAACATATCGACAAATGTGCAGAAGCAAAGCACACATCGCACTCCCAGTTTATGTTATGCAATTATTTATTTGGCTAAAGGAAAACACTTTGCTTGCACATGCTGATGACACGCTTACATTTCTGGTTTATAGTGATTGCACTGATGAGTTCTTGTTGGTTTGGCATTGTATGACTGTTTGCTTGTTATTAAAATAGCTTTAGATGCAACAAACATTAACAGAAGTGTCATCTAGAAGAGGGGCACCTTAAGCTCATCTTTCTATACTAACATTGGTGTAATGATGCCAGTGTCCAGCTCCAAAATCTGTGAAATTATTTTAAAGACTTAAAGCACACCAGCTTCTGTTCAGTGTTATAGCTGAATTGCCTGTTGGACTGTGTCTGAAAAGGTCAACAAGCAACCGGAGGTAATAAATGAAGCTGAGGTGGACTGCTTGTGTGGGCGTAATTGGGCTGAAGATCCAATACAGAGGAACAGTGACTTATGGGTAATTACCTGCAATGTCCTGAGACAAAGAGCTGTGAGTGGCTGTCTCTCTGATTCAATCAGCCCCACACAGAGCTGGGCAGTACACAGCCTGTCTTAATTGTCCGATATGCTTTCCCCTCGATGCACGGATGCACAACGTTTCCTGCGGCCGTTTTCTCTCCATTTATACCGGCAGCAACAGAGACTCACACGCTTGTGAACTCATTCGCACAAAGTTCCTCTGTGTTTCTCACAAACATGCTCACATTCTTCCCACTCCAACTGCCACACATACACGGATGCAATTCCAGTGTTCATCTCTGTCAGACACACACACGGAAATCTGTTTGCATTTAAACTCTAAGACCACATTGGGCAGCAAATTTTCTTCATTAACAGCCTTCTTCTGTCACTCAGTGCTGATCTGAGCTGACCTTTACTGTGCAGTATGCACTTTCAATGCTATTATACTTTTAATGACACAGCTGGCAGTGGTTTTGGGAGGTCTTGTGAAGAGCTTGTTGAGCTGCATCTTGTTGAAATCTCCCAATTCTTTGAATCTTTGGGCTGAAGGAAGGACAATACTCGGTGTATAAATGCTCAATCAACAATCATTTATTTCCATGAAACGGAATTAGTCATAAACACTGTTGTAAATTATCTATAATAAGTAACATGATCTCGATAACTCGGGGAAATCTAATTTGTCTAGTTTACGTTTGCATTTAAAACGCTAGATTAGTTGAAAATAAAATAACTGGTCCAACACACAGCGTACAAATTGGAGATGGAGTTAAATGCAGCTTAGAAAGGCGCTTCGTAAACAGCATTAGCAGTTAGATTTGCCTTTGAAAACGTTTTTATTTTTTCATTCTTGAAGACAACATGACAAAAATAATGACCAAGATGCTGTATATTTATTTTGTAACTTGTCGAGAGCTTATTGATCACATATACAACATCAGAAAGGCTCAATTGGCAAGAGAACAATATCAAATAAACATCACAAACAAGTTCTTAGCCCCGAGTAAAACAGCAGCCAACAGACAAGGACAGCGGCTCCAAGGACGGAGGGGGTGGGTGTGAGGGGTTTGTGTCAAAATATGAAGAAAACAAGCCAATGCAAACCGAAACGTCATACTTGAGACCACAATGGTGATGGGTCTGATTTTGGCATGCAGAACATTTCCAGCTTTATTAATCAAGATGACAACACGGCAGCGAAAATATTACTCATGCAGCACCATTCACAGTTAATTTGGCTAAGGTGGTGGGGCAGACAAATAAATAGCACATGGAAGGAAAGAGAGTGAAACCACTGAAGGTCATTAAAAATCAGACTGTATACCGCTGTACTCAAGTCAAGAATGAAAGTGTTTCCTCAACAAGCTGAAAAATGTGTGGCTCGGTGCTCTTCGCTTGATAACGAGCAACAACCAGCACAGATTCCAGCAAAACTACTTCCAGACACTGTAGAACGACAAAAGCCACACTTGGACTGACAGGCTGGGGGATAAAAGGCATCATTATAAAATATTTTACCCCCGTCAAAAAATGCACTTTCAAATAATGAAATGCTGAAATCACATAGCGGGAGGAAAGTCCGAGCACAGAGTTACAATATACCTATTCACTCTGCCTCATTTTTGATATGACTTCATTAAAAATCTGCATTTATCTATCTATAAATCTTCTAGCAAATATTAAATACTCCATTACAATACATCTTTCTAGTAATCTGTTAAAAGCAATCTGTGTAAAATACGTTCTTTAAACAAAACTGAAGCTTATCGACACTGATACTGTTCCTCACTTTCTGATTACTCTGCTGACTAGAAAATATATAATACTAGTTTATAGCGCTGTTTTTTTTTCACTCACTTGATACAAAATATGTCTACATCAGATATATATTGTACGTGTACAAAGTGCTTCTTCTAAAGTGTCTGTAACATTTATAAGCTTGAAATAACATTTGAAATGTAGTAAACATTTGCACAGCTTGAAGAAAAGAAGCACCTCCCAAATATTTCTATCGTACTGTAACCTTTAAAAAACACTTTAACAGATTAAACTTTTTTTTTCTTCCTTTTTTTCCTTTTTCCACATTTCAGTTTGTACACTTTTAAAAATCACCATGGTACAACTGATACAGGATCAAAACAGTGCTTTTCCCATGATCTGATCTTCCTTCATAAAGTCAGAGAGCTATCTGGGGGTCTTTGGATGAGTGTAAACACTGTGAAAGATTCTCGGGGCGAAACGGTCACGTTACAATGCTACTGATTACGGACGTCGCCTGCAAAACACTTACGTACATGTTATAATGATCGTTGCGCTCTCTCGACTGACACCACAGTAAGGCTCAATGCGGGAAATATACATGCACTGAGCAGCAATATATTGTGGCTACTACTAATGACGCAAAATATATATGCTTGTAATTTTACAGCAACAGTCAATATATTAAGACTTTTCTGCAACAGCAAGGACTCGCTGGGATCATTCGCGCCAGGCTGCAACGACATAATGCTGAGATATAAAGGCGCGATAGAGAGAAGTGGCACATATTTTTCAGATTCCCATTAAAAAAAAATCATTTTATGGCTCTTGCGTTGCTATGAGATTGTCAGATTAAAAGGCATATATTATCTGACTCATCTATCCACTTATCTGTATTAACGATGTATTTCTATGCTGGATGTGCTTCCTTTGCTCTGTAGAATACATTTGTGTTATGGTGAGAAAAGCTCATTTGGAGGCTGCCAAATGGAGGCTGTTCAGATTCAGATTGATTTCACCCACATTGTGCGCATGCGCCATTAGTGTGCTGCCTGCTGTAACCCTAATTTCCTTCGGGATTAATAAAGTATTCTGATTCTGATTGTATTACAAAAATCCCCCAATTCCCAGGACAAATTTATTGTAAACATTATAAAGATATCTAACTTATTAAGCAACAATATATAACTGAGCGTTTCTTGGGGAGGAATGCTCGCAGCTACATACATGTCAGTTTGCAAGTGGTCAGTACGAACTTTCATAATCACTTTGGATTTGAAAGGTTTTGTGAGCATGATTAGCAGGATGCTTATTGTGGTTTGCAGCTGATAAACTAGGTGAACGAGGCAAAGACTAAAATATGATTAAGGGAAATAGTTTTACGCATTATTGTCTTGTATGCATGCACGCACGTGCGTGTTGCCGTTGCAGTGCTTGTGCAGATTTTTAAAAGCGATATCTCTGCACAGTTCACCTACACTGTCCACTTCTAGATCTTGCCTGCACAAAGCAATGCATAAATGCACAAGTTGTGATTGCATAAACATAGTACCATAGCACAGAACTGGCAAGCCACTTATAATATTATAGGCACAGGCTGTTAACACTTGGCAGTTAATAGGTAGAAAGATTTAGCTAATTACATTTAAAGTATACTTTCACAGTCTTTCAGCTTGCTTCATTTACACCAGAGGAATACAAACCCCAAGAAGAAAGCTTGAGCATTATGGTTTAAGTTACGGTTTAAAAATACGCTGCCCTAGTCTCTCTGAATTGCTAGCTGTGTGCATGTGTCCCCTTTCTCTCCGGTAAACTACTTAATCAACGTGCCCTTGAGCAAGGCACTTGGTGGTGCTCTGTAACGTATAGCCTAGTTTTCTCCCAGCTGTGAGTGAAATTCTTCCTCATAATACAAGTGCTGCACTTCAGTGCAACGTATGAACTTGGCGTCAAAATTAAATGTCAATAAATAACCTAAAAAAAAACCCCAAACCACACAATTAGATATGTATATCAGCGTGTGATATTCAATTAATTATGGGTACTAGTCCATGAAGTGTTTTAATTTCTCTACTGTGTCTACTTATGTGTAAGTTAGTGGTTTCCTTCATTTCCCAGATTTCCTTTAAACACTTTCCATGAAAAGAAAGAGGTATAACTGTGACTGGACTAACTTTAATTTGCTGTTGGTGTTTGTTGCCCTGACTTTGGTATCTCTTGTGTGTGTATACGCGTGCTGGATGTTTTTTTCTATTTGTTTAAAGCATTAAACATTCTATTGAACTAGAGGTTAAGAGGAACATAGCTTGACATTATACGACCTCAATTCCATTACTTACTCTGAAAATATGAACAGCTACCTTTTAGATAAAATGAAGACTGGAATGCAAGCTAAATCTGGATAGGTATTGAACAGTGTACTTGGTTGTTTTTTTTATAAAAATATATCTCTAGTGAAGTGCTAATATGATATGATGAGATAAGAACGGTCTATTGATAAACTGATAAAGTACCTCGTGGGGTAAACAGCATCACCGTCAGCAATGACCTTTGTTTGGTGTGAAAACTCACACCATCAGTCATGCACTGAAAGCACTCTGTAAAATTAAGACTGTAACAGTGTCATTGCTCTGGACACAATAAGCCAGAGATACAATGCAACACAAGGCAGTTAAGCATTGATATTATGTTTGCTTGGCTCACTGTAATCATGCATGGATGCATGAGATGCTGACGAAACAGAGCAAACTGTGCATTTGGTTTATGATGTTAATATTTGGCTGCCTCAAAAGAAAGAACTGCTTTAGCAGATGCAAAGAAGTTAAGAGAGTATCTTGTAGCCTTTTATATCTGCCTTTCAGCATCCTCTGAAAATAGACACCCGTACACATCTCAGCCGCCCAGTGTGCTGGGAGTTACTTGGTTTCCAACGGGAATCGGGTGGGACGACTGCGGGTAACTTCCTGGTGAATCAGCCTTACATGTAAAGGTCTGATGTCTTTGTCATTTTATTGTGAGAGGTTTCCCAGCAGGTCTGGGGTAATGTACCCCACAGGCATAGGTGCCTTGAGTGGGTGCTGTGGCAGGCAGGAAGGGGGGGTCTGGTGGCTAGGCAGGTTAAGGAGCAGACTGTGATGACTGTCTAACTCCTGAACCACTGTGTAGTCTGCAACAGGAGCAAAAAACTGGGGGGAGTCAGGAAGAATGTAAGGCGACGGATTAACCTCCATTGTGGCTGCAGGTCTGGGCTCCACTGGCTGAGGATGTATGATGTGGTACCCCTCACCGGGCATGGGAGAGCTAGGGGGAGGAGTGCTGATTTGCTGGATACTGCTCTCTGTACTGTAGGCACTTCCTTCTGGATCCACTACTAGCAGCTGAAACTGTGGCTCTTTTTGCTTCCGTTCCTCAGACTCCTCACTGTCTTCACTCTCTTTCCGCTTCTTTTTTGTCTCCTTCTCGGCGGCTGAGATGCTCTCCTGGATTCTGAGTTGCTGTCCAGGAGACAACACCACACCACCAGAGGGCATAACATTGCTAACCTGAGCGTAGAAGTCTGTGTTGACCCAGGTCTGGGGCCCTCTGGTTTGGGTTTGGATGAGCTGTCTTTCACCTGTCTCAGAGGCTGAGGATCTTTCTACAGTATCAAGGGAGGTTTCCTCTTCATCAGGTTGTCCTGGTAGAAGCGTGGCCATCAGCATTAGTGTTTCTTCTTCAGGGAGATCTGTGTTGTAACAGGTGGCCTGGGCGGACTCAGCATCTGGACCACTTGAGGAGAAGCCAAAAAAACAAGAAAGGCAAAGAAATGAGTATTCACGGAGCTATTTGATTAAACGAATAACACCTTTAAATGTAAATCTTTGCCATACCTGATTGAATTAGAGCAACTTATGTTGATGTGTTGACTGACAGGTTGGGACTGACCCAGGAGTTTCTGGGTGTCTGAGCCCCGGTTATCCTCCTTCTCTCCACTATCTACATTCTCTGTCTCATTGACCTCCATGAGCTCCACCCACAGCTCATCTTGGTAGAAATCTGGTGCATAAATGGGCAGGCCATCCATTCCTCCACCACTCAGCATAAAATTCAGCTCATCCAGCTTCCCCTTCTGCAAGTGTACAAACAAGTGTTCTGACATTTAGGCTCCAGAAATTGACAGTTTCCTCTGTAAAACACTCTGACTTTGCAGACTTACGTCTAAAATTTTAAACCCAACAAAAAGTGTATGGCAGCTTGGTCTACTCACAAATTAACAACATAACTTATTTATTAATTTACATCAGGATTTTTTTTTTTTAATTGTTCAGAGGTGAGATTGTTTTGTATGGCTTTTAAATGCACTCTGTGAATAATACACCCACAACACAATCCTGAATCATGATGCTCTTTCTGTCTAATTCCCTCTGAGTGGTCCTTATGTCCATTTTTTCTTGTTATTTATATTCAGTTTTGTTTCACGTTTAATTGGTGGTTGAGTCAGATGATAAACTGGTAGTGAGTGTGAGAGAGAGACGAGGGAGTGATGTGGTGATTTTGTGACCTAACATATCTCTACAGTATGAGCCGCACAGACAGACAGGAGTCTGTTTTCTATCCAAATTACAATTGAAATATAATTTTAAAAATGTGATTACACAATCCCTTATATAATGGTTTTACTTCCAAACGTTGCCTTTTTAAAATCTGATTAAAATACACAACAATTTTGATCCCCCTCTGACAGTCACGCTACTTGACTGCGGGGGTCTAGCATTTGCTTGAAAAATCACAGACCAGAAATACCTTCAATAGCTCTGAATCGATGCCTTTGATTTTGGGTGCAGGAACAGGCGGCAGCAGAAATATCATTAATCTGCAATGACAGAAGAACGAGAGAGAAAGAGAGAGATGTGCACCTGTGATTTAGCAGATGTCTCATTGTTTCACAGATGTTTTGGACACCACAGATGCATGAAAGAGAGGGAGTGCGTGAGTGCTCGTACCGGTTCTGCTGAGAGATGACTATGAGCATGATGAGTATGAGGATACCCACAGTCCCAAATACAAAAACCAGTGTGAGATGGACAGGAAACTCTAAGAAGCAAAATGAAACAGAACTCGTCATAATAATGATGACAACCAGTCCTCTGGCTTCATCAATCATACTGTGTTAAATGCTCAAAGGAAAAAAAAAACAGTTTGCAGTTCACCAAAAATGCATCGCATCATTCTAACACATGCGTTACCTGTGCTAGGAATCTCAGTCACTTGAATGAAGATGGATTCACTGAACTCGCCAAATTTAATGAAAACCTGCATCCTGCAGCGGATGTGTACTTCATATTCTTTTCCTAAGTGCAGACCGTAGATTGTCTGATGAGAGTGTGGCTGAATCTCCAACTGAAAATTGCAAAAACAGACAAACCTTTTGTAAATTAAAAAAAGAAATGATGATGATGTGCTTAAAAAGAATGATGCAGCTATCCTGACAGAAATAGTAACAACACCAATGTTAAAGGCTGAGTAAGAAAAGGAGGGTGTCAAGAGGTCCGTTTTTATTTTTGGCACCTGTAACTACACAATTACTGATGCACTTCAGATAGACTGGATAGATGACATGCTATTATAACAGATGGACGTGAGGTCCCCAACCATCAGGCAAGCCAAGCGGTAATGAATACGAGCCTGTACACAGTCCCATGGCCTCTGACCTACAGATCCCTCCCTTCTCTTCCTTCACAGATGCTAAGGCCTTGCTCTGGCTTCCACAGCCTTGCCAGCAAAGCTCCAACTGCATTTTAACTACAAGTGTTCAGGGGGGAGGGAAAGAGAAACATAACACTCTGCTTCGATGACCTACAATTCATTTTTAAGAGCATGAGATTTGCTTTTTTTATTTGTGTTAATGTGCATGTGCAAAATCTGCTTTTGTCAATGTGAGGAACTGTGTGTAAAAAGAAATAATGGGCAAGATTATTAAAAAGTTAGGAATAAAAGACTTACTGCTTCCCAGTTTGTGGTATTTCCCTCTCTGTACTGCAACTCATACTCCAAACGCATCCATCCCAACCTAACATCAGCAGTAGGTGGGGACTCCCAGTTAACCATGACATCATAATTTAGCCTGGAAGGACTTATAGTCAGCAGGGTCCAGTTTAAAGACACTGGCGGGTCAGGACGTACTGTCAGAGAAAAGGCAAAAGTTCATATTCGAACAGAAGGAAAGGACACTTCTAGTTACTGATTTGGTATGCTAATTTAGGATCACATAAAAAAGGTTAACAGAATACTAAAAAAAATACTGCTTATGTTCAAAAAGTCAATATCTGTTCAATCCAGACTGTGTCACTCCCTTTACAAAGATTAAAACATTTAATTCCATTTAACAGATTTAAAACTAAATGATCAACACGTTTTGTTTTTCTCTTTTTTCTTCATTAATTTAACACGATTGATGAGGACATAAGGACAAAGCAAAGAAGTGAAAACCTCCACGAAGTCATAATTATTAAAGAAGGAGTCCTCCCATCACATTACATTTGTGTAAAACATTGATATTTTGAACTGAGACTGGAGCAAATGCAAGCAATATTGATTGAAACTGCACAGGTCTGATTTGATATTATCATGAACACATCACAAATAGGTATTTCTTTGGTATAACTGGAAACGTTGGCCATAAAGAAGAGGGGGAGAAGGCATTTTAAACAATGTCAAGAATCATCTGGAGCTGATTCAACAAGTAGTTGCTACGCTCCTTCTATAAACAAAGAGGTTTGGAAGAATAGGCAGCAACCAAAAACCTGACCCTACTACAGGTCAAGTGTCTAAGACAACATCCACAATTAATTTGTACTCATAAAAAGAACAAACAAAGATCTTTCCATGAAGAAGATGTCAGGCAACATATGACGTTGCCATATGATAATATATTGCTTGTCAGCATCTTCTAGACTCAAAGTATTTACCACTTAAGCACTGTTTATCTGACATAAGTCCAAAAACAAGTAGAATTTCCAGGTATCCTTCTGCACGAGTAATTCATTGAACTAGAAATAACCATTTTGTGCTGTGAAATATGAATATATATGTACATATGAATACATTAAGTAACATCTGTAAAGATCTCCTAATGCTATAAAGGATTTTCCCATACAACCTGAAAATGAGAAACAGTAGGATGTCAAATTTGCTGATAAATCAAAACTTTTTACAAAAATCTGTAAATATGCACAAATCTTGGCTACTAACCAATATTCTCCACCCTGAAACAGTCATCTTCATTGAAATAGGTGATGTTGTTTTGAGTGCGAAGCTGCATGCAGTAAGTGATCCATATGGATGTGTGATGTGCATCAAAGAAACATTCCCTATTTGAATGGATATACTCGGGACACTCCTTCCACTGGCTGGTAGGAGACCTGAATGAGTGAAACAATGGCAGAAGAAGCATAAGAAGAAGTAAAAAACTAAATTCTTGTCAAGTAAAGGTTATACCATCATTAATGGAGCTCACTGATTCACACAAAACAATGTGCCTACGTGAAGTTTTCTACAAAACAAGCAATTATTAGGATTTCTGAGAGTAAAGCAAGCATTTTGGAGATTACACTTACTCTTTTTTAAGGTAGAAGACTCGGAGTGCTCCAGGGGAGGAGAGGTTGTGGAAGGTGCCAGGACTCCACCAGCAGCGGAACGTCTCCTGGTCCCTTGATATACACTCAGTAAAATGAGGCTCAATGAGAGCTGAAAGACAGAGTTAGAAGAGCAACGATTAGAAAGGAAGTGAGACTGCATTAGGATAATGAATCACCTTTATTAACATCTATCAGCGTCTGCAGGGGCTTTGCTTTATTGGTCTAACAATACAGAGATACACGGTCTCCTAGGGGCCCGCTATCAATTTGAAAATCATTGCTGTGTTTTCAAATCATCAAATGCGCAAGATTTTCAGAAAGTTTACTCTGAACTTGAGGTCAAGCATACTGAGATTCAAACTCATCTGAGATATTTAGTAGATGCACCTTTAGTATCAATTTCATATGGAGCCCTTCAAAGGACATTGGAGAAAAAAGTTTAAGATGTATTTTTGCGAGAGCCTGAGTTACTTGTGCGAGATCCCGCAAAAGTTTTTGATTGAACTCCAAGCACTTCCAGGTCAGTAATGAGACCTTGGAAACCACAGTTATGGAGGACGCACACCCGTGGGACAGATGAATAGATTTTTAGTTTGAGCTTGGCCTAAACTATGAAATTAGATCAGTGCTTGACAGTAGAGACCGTTTTTATAAGTGAGAGACATCTGAAGAGAGTCCTTAGTGCAAGAGGACACACTCATCCGAAGGAGTACTCTGACCTGGCATTCTTGGCTGAATTCATTAACAGCCAGCTGCAGTACTCGGGTACTGATAGATGTACGCTAAATGCGCGGAAAAAGTCTTTCTCAGGATCTCGCAAAACTTTTTCGGGACTCTGCAAAAGTAACTTGAATTTTCGCAGAAGTGCATCTTCTTTTTTTTCCCCCACCAATATTCCATTCCTTGAAAATCCTACTTCGCCTTGTTCTCTAGTTATAAACTTCACGAGATATTCAGAAACCTTGACCTTGAGGTCACTGAGGTTCTAACTCATCTGAGATTTTTAGTAGATGCACCTATAATATCATTTTGAAGCTCCTATGTCTCCTTGTTCTCGAGTTATAACATTCACAAACTTTGCACCACTTGCCCATCCGCCCTCTTGCCCGGTAGTGTGACACCAATGCTGCGTGAGCCTTTTACAGCTCAGTCACCTTTAATTGCACTAATATCATGACTTCTGGTGGTGTCAGGCATCACTTTTTCACGGAAAGGCTGAGTAAACTTGCTGAAATCTAATCTTAACCTCAGAATTGCAGAAACTTGCCACAGTTGAAAACAATAAAAACACAACAGATAATAGTACCTTAAGGTTACAATCCACATTTAAAGACTATCAGATGAGCTCTGGGTGTTAAGTGTAATCCTGCATTATTTATACTCAAAGAGTTGCTAGACAAATGGAAAATGCTTCCACATGATTTCTGAAACAATGCACAAATACAAACTTGCAAATGTGCCAGAAATATTTTATTCCTTTCTTTTAACAACCGCTGCTGCTACCCTGTGAATCCCATGAATATCATTGCGCGCACATACGAGTAGAAAAAAAAAAGAACTTGCTAAAAAAGTATTATGCTGCTAACGTTTCGATCTGTCCAAACATTTCGTAACAACCTAACCCCTCCTCCCTCCCAGCCCCCCCGCTCCTGTCGGAGATCAGTTTCTCGCCCAGCAGAATATAGAGTCCCAGAGTTTGGTGCAACCATAAATAAGCAGCTGAAAGTACCATTGATTTCTGCTCCACTGGCTCTCCGCCAGCTCTCTCTTCTCACTGCCTGCATTATAAATCACACACAGACCTAGAACATAAACATGTATCAAAACACAGGGGAAAGAAATTACAGACCAACTGGAGCTGATAGTTTCTAAACATAAAACCAAAACATATCTCCACACAGACTCGTTAAAGATTGTTCACTTGTAAAAAAAAAAAAAAAAGAAGAAGAAGAAGAAGAAGAAAGGCACGCTACTGGCGTCTGCATACAGACATACACCTACCAAGCATGCATCCTGATTCAACTTACACACATCTAACTACAACAAGACAAGCTATCAACAAGACCAACTCAGGCAGGGCAGTCAACGCACACACCATTTATTCACGTGGAATATAAACCTACTTCGTTTCCATGCTATTTAGTGCCAGTATAACCTCATAATTCTCTGCATTCCTGTGCAGTTGTGCCTTTCCCACCTCCCTTCCCTTCACCTTTTGCACGCTGTTGTGCTTCCCCGAGGTTTGCTATTTCAGCTCGGCTTCCCTTCCCCATCCAACAAATTCCAGCTGCAACCATCAAAGAGCTTTCTGCAGACGCTGAATGCAAGAAGGCCTTAGAACTACAGAAGAATAGGATACTACAGAAGCAAAACTTCTAAGGTCCTAGGGTTTTTATATGGGCTGTAAATTTGGGGGGATAATAATTTGTATTGATTGGTACTAACACGTCTGGAAATGTTTGGGGTTACTCACAACTCACAAGACTTTTTATGATCATCAATAATTACGTAATAAGACAAGCTTTTTTTTTTACGCGTTTCATCTTCCAGTTGTTATTCTTGTCTGCAAGAGAAGAAGAATCTTGAGGTCAAAGAGCAATGCCGTATTTTAAAAAAGCTATTTGCATTTTTTGAACTTAAAACCATGTCAAAGGTGAAAGGTTGAGCCGCAAGACCTGGAGGGTCACACTCTAATTTTGTCATTCTCTCTCATTTCCTCCTTTTCAGTATTTCAAAGGATAAAAACGGGACCGTTCCAGCTGTAACTGACTCACAAGCCAGGGGTAATGTTTTGACAGGAGGATGTTGATTACCTGACTTGTACTATTTTTGTACTTGTACTAGGCTTGTACTATTTTTTTAAGGCTGTGCTCACATTATCAGCATGTAGTCATATATAACTACATATATAACTATACTTGAGTTTCAGTAATGGAAAGGTAAATCCTGCCTGTACCTGCCAGGTACTAAATGAGCTGAAAGCCTGTGGCTGGAAGAAGAAAACTAATTTGAACATGTGTGTGCGTATGTGTGTGTACATGTGTGTGTGTGGGTGTACTGCCTCATCCTGGCTGTCCATATGTATCTGTCTGTCCACGTGGATGTGCAGCTGAGACTGATAAACAGCTCTTAGCTTCACGTCCTCTCTTCATCAGTCTGTGTAGAGGAGCTAGGAAACCATTTATCTACCTCCATGTCAGCTTTAGCCATTAGGGTTTAAATCCACTAAGAAACCTAAATAAAGCACTCGGCCCTAGGCTCTCACATCGGCTGGCAAACAGAACTGAAAAAGGCGAGAGAAAAAGGTGCAACCAGCATTTACCAGTTACCGCACTGCGAAATGCTCGATTGTAATGAGGAGTGGAATGATCACCTTTTCCAGCTCATTTGCAGATTTAAGTTAATGTTGAGGTTAGTCATGCTCCAAAAGGCTGACTAAAGGAACAGCGAGATGTGATGGAAAACGAAGAAGGAAGAGTGACGCCACTAAAAAACAAACATTAGTCGGTACTACAAATGTCACTTGATGAAAAGAGATGTTTTGAAATTAAATCAGAGCAGCATTTTCTTTTAATCAATATTTCTATTAATAAAGGCAAACTAAGTCAGTGTAGGCGACTGTTTATACGCTGCAGATCATTTATAATCTGTCCCAACTGTCACCCCATGTGACGTTCCCCTGGGTTCAGTTTTGGGTCCATTACTCTTTGCACACTCTTCACGTGTGCAAATATTAGTAGTTACTGACTGATGCATAAGGAACATGAAAATGAAATACATATGGTTAGCTACGATACTTTGATCAGGTCATAATGACAGAAATGCCTCAGCATTTTTTAAAAAACTACTTTCTGTATCTTTGTGAAAACGTAAAAGTTTATGATTTTGTTTTATCATGAATTAGATTTGCACTAATAGATTTCCATGTAAATGTTCCATTACATTTGTCAACCGTAAAGCTCTTTAGCCCTGTTTACCCCATATTGTGGGCTACATCTATTACTTGGGACTTTTTGTTCGGGCACATGTTTAGGTATTTTTGTCCACTTCTTACTTATGATCACTATAAACAATGCCAAAAAGACATGTAAATGAGAACTTCTTGATGTCTCTTCATTGTGGTTTTAGTTTAAAAATGATTTGGTTGCCCTGTACTTTAAGAGAACACACAGACCTGCCAACTGAACCTGTTGTTCCCAGTCACATTGTTCACATAACTCAAGAGTCTGCTCTCAGTTGACCACAGAAAAACCCCATAAAATGACATGACAGTAAAAGCAGCCTTGTTTCTGGAAGTATTCATTTAAACCATAAATATAAATGATAACATTTATAGGAGTAAAACTATAACTTAAACAGCACAATTTTAAAATAATTTAGCATAAACCCCCATGCTAAAAATGTTGTGACAATGTGAGATATGTAAGTAAAAATAGAATTTAATGATTTGCAAACTGCATAAACCAATATTTATTAACCAAAAAACGAAAAGATATTAAATATCTAAACTGAGAAAATTTGAAGAAAAAAAAAGGAGGGGGGGATTCTGGCAACAAGTTTCTAAAAAAGTTGGGACAGGAGCAAGTAGAGGCTGGAAAACTAAACGGTATTACAAAGAAACAGCTGGAATAGCATTTTGCAACTAATTAAGTTCACTGGCAACAGTTTATTAACACAACTGGATACAAAAAGAACATCTTAGAAAGACGGAGATTCTCTGGAGTAGAGAAAGCAAGAAATTCACCAGTCTGCAACAAACTGTGTCTACAATGTGAAACTATTTCAGAATAAGGTTTCTCAATGTAAAATTGCAAAGACAGTACATAATGTCATCAAAACAGACAGAGAATCTGGAGAAATCTCTGTGAGCAACAGACATGGATAAAAATCAATAACGGATACCCGGGCTCTCAGGCAGCACTGCACTAAAAGCAGGAATGATCCTGTCATAGAAGTCCCTGACTGAGCTCAGGAACACTTCCACAGAAGACCATCTTTGAACACAGTTCGCAGACAGTGATTTCTGTGTTCTATGTGAATAAAACATGTTTATGAGATTTGTAAATCATTTAATTCTTTTTTTATTTACATTTTGCACAGTGTTGCAAC